GGAGGTACAAAGAAAATCACTGCATTCCTCAGCTCTCACCTCTGTGTAAGTGACACTTCCTTATGCAACAGAGTGCGACACACACAGAAGGCCACAAATGTTGAACACTTTTTAAGTGTTCACTGGTCATTTATAACTCTTCTTCTGAGACTCCCTGTCCAGTTCATAACTCATTTTTGTAATTGAATCATATGCCATTTTTGATATTACGTGAGTATTATATTTGCCTTATTTCCACCCCCAGTCCCACCTCAACTGTTCCCATGTCCCCCCTCACTCCCTTTCAACTTCTTGTCCTTCACTTTCATTATTATCGTTGCATATATATACATACTTTTATAAATATGCATATACATAATGCACTGCGTCCATTTAGTGGTGCTTGTGTGTACCTGTGTCTAGCACTGCCCATTTTGGATTAGATAACCTCTCAGGGAGCTAGTCTTTCGAGTCCATTAGCCTGTAGCTCTTCATCTAGAGGTAGGACTCATCTGTATTGGGTTGTATGTTTTCTTTCTTGGTAGAAGGGTTTGGAAGTTTGGGCTGGAAAACCCATTGAGTACTCAGGGCTTAGTGAGCTGTTGCTGTGGAACTTAGAACAGTTTTGCTGAAAAAGGTATAGATGCTGGAAGCCTGGCTTGTGAAATTTCAAAGGGAAGCAGAGACTATCAGGGCTGTTTGTGTGGAATTAGGAATGTTTGGGAATACTCTTTCTTTTTTGAAATTGAGCTTTTTAAATTTCATACATTCCCCACTCACATCCAGACCCCTTCCTCCATCCATGCCTCCTCCCAACCCCCCACTGAACCCTACGCACTCTGCCATACCTGCTGAGTCCTATTCATTCAGGTGTTTGTACCCAAGTGTCCTTCAGTGTAAATGTGTCCACTGGAGTCTAGTCAGCCCCTCCAGTGGCCGTATGTAAGTCATACTCTCCCTCACCCAGCAGCAATTGGTCTCAAATAGTTCTCAATCTAGTGCTGGCCCACCACCTATTTTTCACCTCCCCTTTGGGCCTTTGTTTAATTTAGCTGGTCTGGGCTCCAGCTTGCTTTCTTACACTTTTCCTCTCTACTCTTCTTCTACTTCTAATTTAATTTCATTCTTTGATGATGACCACTTTACATGAGTCAGAGGGAGAGTCTAAGGCAATACAATGGGGAGAGCTACCCTCAGAGGTTAGAATGAGGGCCATGTTGAGGAAAGACCAGCCCTGTGTGCTATGTGAGTATGGAACTCTTAAGCAGCCTCTTTCTGTCCCTCCCCTGGGAATGAGCCCCTACCAGAACCTTCGAGGTGAAGAGTCCACACTCATCCTCCAGTTTCAGGGGTTTACTTGTCAAGTGAATCGTCCACTTTGAGCAATATCCTAAAAGACACTTTTTATTATGTCCCCATACAATTCTTCTATAGTTTTTTAATTCCAAGGTTTCCCTTACTACACTTGAAAATTGTTTATTAATGTGATTTATTTAAAGTGAATAGATAACAAATCATCACTTACTTCCCAGTTATTTTTTAATATTTTATTTTTTAAATTTGTTTTTATTAAATTTTGTTGTATTTCATACAGAATAACTCAAACAATCTGGATCACCTTTATAGCCCCATCCCCACCAGCACCCTCCTACAGCCCTCCACTGGAACCCATATACTCTGTCCTGGGTGTTAAGGCCCACTGTGTCAAGTCAGTGTACCCAGACATTACCCAGTGCAAGTCCATCCACTTGTGGCTTAATCAGATTCCTCTCAGCTATATATCCAAACACTTATCTTTTTCTTTTTTATTAACAGCACATAGGGTGGGGGTTTATGTAATATATTATTATTTTTAGTTTTATGTGTGTGTGTGTGTGTGTGTTGCCTGCATGTATATAAGTGCACCCATGTCTTGCAATGCCCTCAAAGGTCAGAAGAGGGTGGTGGATCCCCTGGATCTGGATCTGGAGTTACAGATGAGTGTTAGTCACCATGTGGATTCTGGGAATTGAACATGGGTCCTCTGAAGAGCAGCCGGTGCCCTTAACCACTGAACCACCTTTCCAGCTCCTCCCCTCCAGTTAACATTTTAAATAAATCACATTATAGAAAATTTAACACATTCGCATTACTCTCTTTTGAATGTGCTAATGGAAACAAAATGCACAGATCACACTTCAAAATTTCAATTATGTTTATTTTCTTTGAAAACTTTGCAAAGACACTGACCTGTCAGACATAGAATGCTTGTTGTACAATCACTGAATATATTTCGATTTAAAATACAGTTGCAAAATATAATACTTGTTTAGAGAAATACAGGCACACAAATGACAACAATAACTATACAAGTGCCCCCAAAGCAGTAATAGTTGACAGATCTAATGTTAGATAAATTAGCACACTCTATTGAGTACTCAACTATGCCATCTAAGTTTCAGTAAGCACCTGCATTTCCAGTCCAGTACCTGCAATTCTGTGCACATATAACGTAACAGCAAAATCAGCAATGATATTGCTACCTCATATTTAGTACTGCTACATACATTACATGTATTGTTTCCTTATCACAACATCACAACAGACACTGCATTTTGTAGGTGAAGAAACTGAAGTTGAAGAACCTTTAAAGACATTTGCTCTAAATTTCAGAACACAGTGCTGGGGTTGCAGTTCAGACCTGCAGCAGACAGATGTTACCACCAAATACACATCCCCTGAGGACAAAGAAACAGATCTTGTCCTTGAAATGAAACTCCAGCACCCAGCAAAGAATTGAGACACAAGAGATGCTCAGGAAATAACTATCCAAGTAAACATTGATGCCTTAGAGCGAGTGTTTCTCTTTTCAAACAAAGATACACAATTTTTACATGAGACTAGGAATCAGGCAGACATACATTTCCGTCTTAAACTTTTTCTGTTAGTTTTTCATACTTGAGACCACGAGAATGAGGGCATGACTTCCTTAATAATAAACTGGCTCTTTAATGTGTGGGTTTATACCTATCTCCAGCACCACGGTTCTTTGTAGACTTCTGCACATTACTAAGTTTAAGGTATTAAAAATTTGGCTTACAGGTTGTGAGTGTTGAAGCATGTTGAAACCTTAAATGTCCAAGATAAATGTGAAAAATTATTAACGTGAATTCTCTGGTTTAGAGACAAGTGTTTGTGTCTTCCTCATAACTCTCATGTTCTAAGTCCCTGGTGACGGATTGATTGCTCTCATAATTATTTTCATATCTATCGTGTCGAGGAGAAACAATCTGTTAGTGTGTAAAAATATCAGCTGATCTAACCAGCTTTGTCACACATTCCAGGTTGCAAATAGAAGCTAAAAATGGTCTCTTACCATGTGTCTTAAAAAAACATAGTTTTAGAGGCATCTCAAAATCAGAGTATTGTGTTGCATTAGAAGTACTGTTCCCAGAATGAAGTTTTGTTCAGAAGCACATTATTTAAAATAAGAAGGCAGTTGAGGTAGAAGGTCAAGGGAAGAGGAAATGACATTTATAGAACTATTCCACTTTTCATAAAATAATACAAGAAACATTTTAATCTGCTTTTTATGATATTCATGTTAGAAATGAAATAATAGTAATAATAATAGTAATAATAATAATAATAATAATAATAATAATAATGAGGTAAATTACCCTCCCAGCACAATGTAAGTGCAGCATGACGGAGGACAGACGTGATTCTTTGGCCCTTGATGCTCTGCATCAAGGTCCTGACTCAGTCTTAGCCCTCTAGCCTATTCCTTTCTTCCCTCAGCAGTTAGAAAAATTGATTGTCCAGCTGATTTCAAAGACCATGTTCTAAAAAAAATGTATTTAAGATGAGCCAAATCATGCAGACGTGAACTATATACTTTTTAAATTCACTTCTTTTCCTCCAACCAGCCGTATTATATTGAAAATTAGAATTTATAACAAATTTATAACAGTGTTGATAACAGTTTGGACTATTTTATTTTAAAATTTTGAAATATATGAGGAATTTAGGAATTAATAGTTTTCTCATACATTACCTTTTGATAGTGAGTTAATTTGAGCTATATAATTTTTGGATAGGTTCTAAATGTCAATTGACATAAGCAGCCTACTTTCTATGGTTGAAATGGCTCAGAGTACCATTTGAATAGTTATTTGCTGTTAAAGTTATTCAATGGCAGTGATTTGCACATCTACTAAAAATCTATATTGTTAAATTTCTAATCTTATGCTCAGTATGAACATAGAACTCAAGAATTGGACCCACTGATTAGAACTGTCAGGGGGCAACATACATAAATCCCTTGCAAACTCAGGCAGACAGTTACCCAGCAAAGAACTTGGAGAACTGTGAATGGTATTTTAAAAAATTACTTCACAATATTAAATTTCCCAAGAAAATATGATTCTTTTTTTTTTTTGGTCTTTTTGAGACAGGGTCTCCCTGTAGCCCAGCTGTCCTGGAACTCACTATGTAGACCAGGCTGGCCTTGAACTCACAGAGATCCACCTGCCTCTGCCTCCCGAGTGCTGGGATTACAGGCGTGAACCACCATGGCTCATGTTTCATTTTATTTTTAAAAGCCTGCTATGCCCCAAATTCCTAATGAAAGTTCTAAACTGAAGTAGATGTCATAAAATACCACAAAGAATTATAGCTATAGAAGAGTTTTCTGGCTTAGAAACAGGAGAGTAATATTTTATAACAGACTTCTATAAGGAAAATTAACCCTAGATATGTGTATAGAATTTATAGATATATGAAACTCTGAATTTACAGTCACAGTTATGATGAAATAATTTTCTAAGGAAATAAATTTTAGAACTTAAATTATCAAGTGAATCTGTGATCTCAAAAGGCTTGTAAACACTTTACTAACTTTTAGGCAAGATGTTGTATACCTATTGAGCTTTATTTCTTATTATCTTAAATTTAGACTAAATTGCTTGAAGGCCAACTTCTAAGTTTAATTATCTGTTATTCTATCAGGCAAACTGATCTCAGTCTCAGGATATCTGCAGTTACTGTGCTGGATAAGGCTGCGTAGCTTTGCCAAGACTGAAATACTGGTTACTTACTTTCTTCTTCATTGCTGCCTTCATCTCTTGGTTTCTCAAAGTATAGATAAGTGGATTCAGAAAGGGGGTGAAGACGGTATAGAAAACAGAGAGAATTTTATCCACCAGGAAGTTTGTGAAAGGCCACACATAAATGAAGATGCAAGGCCCAAAGAACATTAACACAACTATGAAATGTGCGGTGCAGGTGGAAAGAGCCTTAGATGACCCTCTGGAGGAGTGGTTCCTGACAGTCACGAGAACAACAATGTAAGAGGTGACCAAAAGCAGAAAACTTATAAGAGCAATAACACCACTGGTTGAGATCATGAAGATACCAAGAACATACGTATCTATACAAGCCAGTTGGATGACCAAAGGAAGGTCACAGAAGAAACTGTCTATTACATTGGGACCACAGAAGGGTAAATAGAGCACAAAAACTAATTGGCTCATTGTATGTAGTAAGCCAACTGACCAGGATATTGCCACAAGCCCAATGCACACTCCCTGGCTCATAATTGTTGAATAATGGAGAGGTTTACATATGGCAATATATCTGTCAAAAGACATGGAAATCAGCAATATGATCTCTGTTCCAGTGAAGAGGTGCAAAAGAAAGATTTGAGAAATGCAGCCCTCAAAAGAGATGGTCTTGTCGTGAGCAAAGAGGTCCATGATCAGCTTCGGTGTGGCAAAGGAGGACAGGCACATGTCAATCAGAGAAAGGTTGCTGAGCAGGAAGAACATGGGGGAGTGGAGCTGTGAGCTGGAGAGGACGGTGAGCAAAATCAGGCAGTTTCCGAACATGGTCATTAAATAGAAAATGGAAAGCGACACAAACAAGAAGATCTGGAGCTCAGGAGAATCAGTGAGTCCCAGGAGCACGAATTCCGATACTCTGGAACGGTTGAGCCCCTCCATCTTTCAGCGGACTCTGCTCTGTGATTTTCAAAGAATCAAAATTACAATGCTGGGAAGATGTGGTATTTCTAAAACTACATGTAAAGAACTTAGGGCACACTCAATAATATCTAGATCACTGATTACCTAGAATTCATTTTAAAATCCTCTCAAGTGCAAGTTTTTTTCCTCCACAGACCTCTTAACAATTGACACTAGGTAACTCTTCAGAAGCACAACTTCTTGGTTTTGGCCAGCAGGCAAGCTCAGTACACATTGGGCTGAACTCATCAAAGCCCACACAACAATAGCTTCTCTGAACACATCTATGCTACAAAATTCATATTTATAAAAAGCTCCACTAAGCTGTGGACTGTACTAAATAACACACATACATAAAAATAAAGGTTTAACTCCAAAGGTTTGTCTTATGAATAAGAAGTGAAATTATTTTGAATCGACTATTTTTAAAAAATAATTTATTGAGAATTTCATACAAGGAGAGTGTTTTGATCAAATCCATGCCCACTCTCTCCCCTCCAATTCCTCCCATATCTTCCCATCACTTTTTTTTCTGATAACTTCATGTACTCTTTCTTCTTTTTGTTTTTAATTTTTAATAACTACATGATTAGAAGAAGCATTTCATTAAAGCTTTAACATATTAAGTAACATACTCCAGAGCAAGAGTACATGTCTTTCACAAGTGGCTGTAAGTTTCTAGGTTCACAGTTGAATTAATACAGTTATGCAATATTGAACTCAGTATAAGCCCTGTAAGACAAAATTGAATGAGTTTTTAACCTTTAAAAAAGATCTCCATTTCATTTTAGAATATATTGTTCCTTGCAGAAAGACTCATTGTTTTTGCTACTAACACTGAGATATTGGCACATGCATCTCTAATTTGTATGTATCTGATTATTACTAGGCATAATCGGTTGCACTCGGATCCTTGGTGCCTGTGTATGTCTATAAAGTCATCGGGTAGATTTCATTGACAATGATTATCACCTCTACCAATTAAATTTCCATGCTTCCTTCTCAAATATAATACATTTTTTTTAATTTGTTGATTTTGTGTGTGTGTGTAATCAGCTATTTTTAACACTATATCTAAATAACATTTTAATGTAATTTGATGAATTTAAATGGTTAATTTAATACCTCATGATGGTGTCAAACTACTTTTAATTTTTCAAGTCCATGACACTATTAGAGAACAAAAGACATACTTGTAAACACTTGAGAGAGATTCTCCACTTTCATTGTGTCCTGATCTCGAGAACACATTGCTTTAGACACAGTGCCTCTCTTCTGGGTCTTTTCATGTAATCCAAACAAAGTTATTATTTTAAACTGGGAGGAGACGTTTAGAAATATGCTTTTAGGATGCAGAATCATTTTTAAATTCATTTTTCCGATCTGTGAAAACTTCATTTCAGATCTGTACTAATGTCTTCCAAATGGTAAAAATTATGGTACAAGTGAAATAAAAATTGGCTCAGGAGAATAAAACTTAATTTTGTGAGCGATGGGGTGTATTTTTCTAATCCCCAAAGCCATCTACACTTTTAACTGTAGACAGCATAACTGAATTGCTTGAAAATTTTCTAGCCTATTAGAAAAATTTATCAAGATAAAATGAATAAAGCAAATAAAAATGAAATGTTATTTCAGTTCAATTACTTACAAAACATGTATATGTCACCAATGTCCTTTCTTTTTGTTGCTTAAATTAAGTCACTTTTCACCTGTAAAATTATAAGTCTATGGCTACATTATTTGGGACTGTCACTACACATGTGACTATTTCATCCATAAATTTTAGACTAATTTAACTATTGATATATTACTACATCTAATCTTATATATTATTCATTTTTAAAAATGTGCTTTTATTCCTTATGTTATATACAAATTCTAAGTACACTCAAAATGATTAAACTTTTTATATGTCAATGGCAGAGGGTAGATCAGTGCCAGCAATGTTAAGTGTTTGTCTGCAGTAGCATTTAAGTCATCCTCAATATTAAAGTAGAAAAGAATAAAGCTATTGTCATAGATTCAGAGGATGTAAAAATGGCAATAGATTCAATAACCTATTTAATTGTCTTCATTATTTCTATTCAATGAAATTATTTCTGATGACTCTCAAAATGTGCTTAAAATAGTAATTCAGATGCATATGTATCAATTCAGTGAAAAAATATTTGCTATGTTGTCCTTTGTCTGAATTAACAGTTCAGGCACATGCCTTCGCTTACAAGTGTGGTATGGCTTCTAGGCTAAATAATAAATGTTGGCTTATTTGTAGTAAAAATTAAAGCAAATACTCCAAAACTATTTTAGCTTCTTGTTTGAATGTTATCACAAACTTTTCATTGATTCTGTCATCCGCTTTTAGAGCAGAAATATGCCAGTTGTTCAGTTGAGGCAAATGCCACAGCCTTTTGAAAGGCAGAGAAATAAGGAAAAGAAACCTCCGATTCACATTTTAACTGTCGCACAAAAGGAAAAAAATGCACTCTCCAAATGACAATCTTAATCATTACTATACTATTAACTGTGACTATCATTCTATACCCAAATTTAAGCCATTACTTTTAATACCATTTTTTCATTTAAGTGTCTTCCTGTTTCCTCATGAAGAAGAAAATATATTCACATCATTTAATTTGCATTTTCACTTTTAATGAATACTATTACATTTTATCAGAAAATAATATTCTAGAATTTTTAAGATGGAACCATACTGAGTGATTAAGAGTAGTTACAGAAAAAAGAATAGTTAGTTATAGTGTTTTTGAACTAGATCATAACTCAGTGCACTAAGTCCTGAGAATTAAAGTGTTTATATAAAACTCCTAGCATAGATCCTGGGAAACAGCTAAAAAACTTTCTAGGTTTACAAAATTTAAAATGCTGCTCAGAAATAATCACCTTATTTTAGCAATAACAATTTAAATAATTCTATTCAATAAAATATTCTAATCTGGTTTCAATTAGGAATTGAAAAAAAGAGACTGTGTTGCCAAAATAATTTCATCTTTTTAGAAGCTAAATTATTTATTTTCCTTTGAAAATGATATAATTTAATTATATCTAATGTCCTGGAAGTTCTTCTTTATACATTTGACTGTTTCTCCTCTTTTCTGGGTAATGGTTTAATTACTAATGAAACTAGTCTTACACTACTGAATGTGAAGATTTCTTTATCATTTCATCTCTAGACAACTTAATCACTCTGTAATAAGATCATGTCCTTTTCCTCTTCAAATTAAATTTCCTTTCTTAATATTTTATTTATGTTTTTTTTTTATTTTATGAGTATGAGTGTATGGCCTGCATGTATGTGACTACACCTGTGTCGTGCCTATATCTTTTCTCTACTATGTCTCACCATTATATTTATATTTTATATAATTATTAAATAAATTTCAAATGTGATACAAGAAGACAGAATTAACAATTTCCTCTCAAGATCTTACTACTAATACCACATTTTAACCTACATACCAGCTATGCAGCCAGAATATGATCCACCACATCTTCAAAGATGTGCAAATCTACTGAAATCACCATGGTCTTTACAAGCATCAGTAGCCTGGATGATGAATAAATATGTTTTCTCCAATCTTACATAAAAACCTTTGGAAGGCAGTGACATTTAGGTAATCAGGGATTACACATTATAATCTACTTGCAGTGGGAGTTATTAAAATGCTGACCTGGCTTTTCAGAGTTGCAACAAGTGCTGTGATGGTGTCTTTGCTGCTTAAAATGGGATACACATCCATGATGAAGCAATGATCTTTAGAGAAAACACTACAACTGGGACCCAGCTAGGAAAGGAAGACCAAAAAGCAAGAAGGACATTTTCAAATACAGAGATACTTCTATGCTCAATGTTCAAGTTGCAGCTGGAAACTATTATTTTAAGCTCTGACACTTTATCTCCAAAACAACAAACCTACTAGAAGTTAAACATTTAAGAAATAATAGTATATTGAAGTTTCTGACATGCCATTATAAACAACACTGGCAAGTAGGTATAAAGTTGGCTTCCTCTATGAATAGGTGAAGTCTACATGAGGGACATCAGGAAGTCCAAAGTCCCTGTTTTCAATAAATCCAATTAAATTCATATATCTATATCTATATATAGATAGATGAGAGCTAGATGATAGATAGATGGTAGATAGATATAGATAGATAGATGATAGATGATAGATAGATGACAGATGATAGATATATAGATGATAGATAAGTGATAAATTGATAGATAGATGATAGAAGATAGATGATAAGTGATAAATGATAGATGATAGAAAGATGATAGAAGATAGATAATAGAAAATAGATTATAAATGATAGATGATAGATGTAGGCAGCTCATAAAATAGGTTTCCATGTGAATTTTTCCAAAATTCTTTGATGTAGCTGTCTCTATCCCCCCCGTCCTATTCCCTTTTCCCTTTTCGTTTTACCTCTGTTCTACTACACCGCTCCCCTAAGATGGCCCCTGACATGCCTCTCTAGTTTCCTTGCTTCTGCAAGTCCTAAATAAAACACATAATTCTAAAGATACAGTGCCAGGATTCCCATATAAGAGAATATGAGCTGGGTTTTTTTTCTCAGTCTGGGTTAACTCAGTATAATTTTTTTCCAGTTCTATCCATTTATCTGCAAATTTTGATGGGATTGCATTGAATCTGTGCATTGCTGCATTCCCACAGGATGGGTGGTGGTAGTTGGCACAGCTCTGAGCTTGTACTTAGGTCTCACATCTTTGCCTTTCCCTGTTGGGGTTCTGATGGTGGCCCTGGCAGCAGTTACAGGAGACCTGTTCTTTTAAATCCCTGTGGGTGCAGCTGTTGTAGATTTCCTAGTAAGCGGCTTTTAGCCCAGCTTGCTCGTGTCTTCTAGAGTCTTCATCTGTCTCAAATTATTTTCACCTGGAAATAACCTAAGTACAGACAATATGATAGGAAAAAGACCAAGTCAATAATATTAAAATG